GGGTCTGAGGCGCCCGACACGTGGGGCTAATATAGGGCCGAGCCAAAAATAAAAGAAAACGATATACAGAGTGTGACATGGACCCCGTACTGGTGCGGAGGGTCTGCGTATACTCGCTGCCCACTGCTCCTCCGTGGCTCTCATGGCTCCCCACGGCCCCGTGCCAGTAGGCACCCCGCCCGCACGTGCGCTGCGCATGCGGTACAGTGAAAATTGTGACAGTGCGCGGCGTGAGCGTCACATGGTATACTAGGCTGGACTGGTGTGTGTGTGGTCTGGTTGCCTAACTCACTAGGCACCATAAGGCGCCATGGCAACGGTGAGCAACGGGAAGACAGCCTCTGGGTCGGGCAGCCTGCAGAGTCAGCGCTGACAAACCTAGCTACAGGCTACAGACCTGGACCTCCTCCTCTGGGTGGCCACTGGCCACCTGGCTAACCTAGGGATTATCCAGAAAGTATGTCCGCCATTTGCCGTTGCGAAACTGCTACGGTTCGCCATTGCAAGCTCTCATAGCGCCTGATGGGTAGGCAACATCTTGCCCAAAGTGCATACGTGTACTGCAGGATGGCCTACCCTTCGTCTCGCAGGCGTCAAGCTAGCATAACCCACCAAATGAATCTTAGAAAACCCGACGTGTTTTTTTTTGTTTTTTTTTTCAACGATTCTCTACCTACAGACCTGGACTCCGCCCCCGGGGTCGATTGGCTAATCTAGCTACAGACCAGGACCGCCGCCACTGGATGGCCGCCTGGTTAACATAGCTACAGATCTGGACCCCGCCACTGGATGGCCGCCTGGCAAACCGAGCTACAGTCCTGGACCCCTGTCACTGGGTGGTCGCCTGGCTAGCCTAGCTACAGACCTAGACCCCGCCTATAGCTGGCCGCCTGGCTAACCTAGCCATAGACCTGGGTGGCCGGGCCGCCTTGGCCTGGTCGGCTGTATGACGGGAGGGGCCGCGGCACAAGGCGCGGGAGCAGGACGGAGGACCGCGGGCCCGGCTGCGGAGGACAGAGCGACGACGATGCGCGACGAGGACCATCGGGGAGGGAGGAGGAAGCGCGACAGATAAAGGGAGAAAGAGAGGGAATAAGAGAAAGAGAGACAGACAGCGGGTCGGCAGTTCTTGAAGCAATTGGTGGTAGCCGGGAGATGCGCGTGGACTCGGACGAGTAGCGGCACCGCCAGCACCGCGCACAGAGGATCCCAGGACCGCACCCGCCCGCAGGCAGCAGGCCGGCGTCGCGAGTACCGCACCTGCAGGTGCAACCTCCGCCAGCTGGACAGCAGCTCCCGTCCGCCAGCGGACTGTCCGCCGAGTCCTAGACGCCGAACACGCCCTTCGCAGCCGCACCGTCACCTACCGCGGCCCGCGTCACTGCAGCTGCGCGACGCCATGGCGGCCGAGGGCATCCTGGTGTACTGGCGCTCCCTGGTGGTCATCCTCACGCCCCTGATCCTCCTGCCGCTGCCCCTCGTGTACCCGGGCAGCACGGTGAGTCTGCAGGGCGAGCACCGCACGCCGTGTTGTTCAGTGTCAAAGCCGAAATGAACTTTGAGTTGTTCCGCTCTGTTCCTATGATTCCTATGCCGTTCAACATAGTGCCTCAGCCGTGTTTCTGTCCCATAGAGATCAGACGATAAGGAGTGTTGTGCCCTGCATGCCACTGCGACCCTTCGTGCAAGATCCGTTTGAGCCGCTCTAGTCGTTGCGTGAGACTTTGTAGTGGACCTCATTGGCTCCCACGGGATCAATCCCGCGTGCTTATTGTCAAACCTCCCTCTCTTTGACGTTTTGAAAGTCTTAAGAAATCCACTAGCCAAGAAAGTCTTCCGCGCGGAAAGATTCTCAAAATCAGCAATGCAGCAACGCATGTGTCAGTGTCTGTTCTATTTCGGGAATGCCAGGGACAGCCTCCTTCCAGACAATCGTCTAGACAACCCTAGACTGTCCTAGGGCGGTCCAGGCCGCGTCGACACGAGCCGCCCGATGGCCGTTATAGATGTGCGGGCTTCCCGGGCCGCCCAGATGCCTGCCAATTGAACTCCTGAACCCTCTTGCTGCGCCGAGCCCGCCCCGGCCGCGCGGCTTTTTCTTAGCCATGAATAACAAGGAATGATAGTTGCCACATCAGCTTTAGCAGAAAAATGCCCCTATTTTTTTTCTCGTCCTGCCCCGGATGCATCTGTCACTAACTGGGCTCTCTGATTGCACATAATAAGATTAATGGTATTGAAGGTCCTTCCCCCTCCTATCCCGGGGGCTGCGTGCGCGCCTCTCGTGTGCCCGCGACAGCCCGCCGTCAAAGGGCCGATATTTGCGAGGAGCGTGTCAGGAGGTTAATTTGAGCTAATGTCGCTGTCGGTCGCTGTCATGAGCCTCACGCCGTCCACGCATTAGCCGCTAACGATCCATCGCGCCTGTCGGTCCCGACCCAGGCAGTTACTCTTCCTTCTCCTGAGAGTGGGCCATGCAGGAAAAGGGTGTGCACGGGTGCAGTACACTACGAAGTAGCTCATATGGATTTGTTAAGCAAAGAACGGCAAAGCCCCTTTCTTTTCCTGAGAATGCACCAGACAGGGAAAAGGGGTGCACGGATACAGTAGACCACGGGGAGTAGCTCACGTGGATTTGGAAAGCAAAGCCTCGTAAATGAGTCTCGGAATTCCAAGGAATGACACCGAGGCCTGATGCAGGAGGCGCGCGCGGCGTACGGCGTGCTGCTGCTGGCCGTGTTCTGGGTCACGGAGGTCGTGCCGCTGCCCGTCACCTCGCTGCTGCCCGTCGTGCTCTTCCCCGTCCTGGGCGTGCTCTCCACCGAGCAGGTGTGCGTCACCTACCTCAAGGAGACCAACATGATGTTCATCGGCGGCCTGATCGTGGCCATCGCCGTGGAGCACTGCAACCTGCACAAGCGCATCGCGCTGCGGGTCATGATGCTGATCGGGGCCAGCCCCCGGCGCCTCATGCTCGGCTTCATGATCCCCACCATGTTCCTGTCCATGTGGATCTCCAACACGGCCACCACCGCCATGATGGTGCCCATCGTGTCCGCCGTGCTGGACGAGCTGAAAGCGGTGAGTCGTCGTCAAGAGAAGAGAAAAACTTGGCAGGCCCCTACCAACAGAGATGCGTCACAACTTCGGTATAACGAAAAATTTGCATCACTCTGGCGCGTTTAATGACCCCAAAACGTCAATTTTTCATCACGAATACGTCATTTTGATGATTCTCTGTTGGTAGGGAGGTGCGCGGTCTAGGGGGGATCGGCAGGAATATAGGGGCGTCCTGTGGGATTTTTTTTTTGGCATACAGTCTCTCCATAAATGTCCGACTAACGTTTCTGCGTTTACAGCAAGAAGTGGACAATTCCCGCCGGCCGTCCGTCCTGAGCGGGGCGACCAGCAGGCACGACAGCGGGACCTTCGATCAGGAGACGAGACGCAAGTCCCTGGCCCGGGTGGAGATGGAGTAAGTACGAGAGGGCTGGCCGCCCCGCCCGCTTGCTCCCGCCTGCACTCGTTGACCCGCCTGCGCCTCGCTCCTCCGCATGACGCACTGCACGCTGCATGACGCAGGGCGCCGCTGCCGCGGGCCGCCAGGACCAACGGCGGCGCGCTCCCAGTTGGAACTCCCGCGCCGCGTGTCCAGGACGCCGATGACGCCGATGACGGGGAAAAGACGTGAGTAGCGGCGCTCAGGAAGGGGGAGTCACGCCAGGGCACTTCTCCATGAGCTGCTGGAGCCGCGCTGGCCGAGGCCCCGCAGGGTGATGCCGCACACCGTGCGAGGCGAGGGGGCGAGCTCCTTGGCGCGGTGTGCGGAATCACCCAGCCGGCGACCTGACCTGGTCCGCCCCCCAGCACGGCACAGCTTTGCTCCGCCAGTAAACAGTCCGTTTGCGCTCGTTGTGCCGGTGCACTCTGCACGGCCCGCATGTGCTGGCCGCTTGAACTTGCGGCCTCCCCTCCCCCCTCCTCTCCTCCGCGACGGCGCAATTAAGACAAATTTAGGGTAGGTAGAGGAAGGGGACGGACACACACACATCTTCCCACCAAATTATTTTTGAGTAAGTCTTAGAAACATCTAGGTCATGTCATGTAAGCCATGTACGAGAAACGTTCATCTCGACGCACATTTTTCGATGCATACTCTTCTTTGTTTTGTTTTTTTTCTGACCGTGTTTTTCACCTCACTTTGCCCTAGCAAGCTTCCACGGCCCAACCAGGAGTCGGTGGCCTACTACTTGGGCGTAGCGTACGCGGCCAACATCGGCGGCACGGGGACTCTCACCGGCACTGCCACCAACCTCACCTTCAAGGGGCTGTACGAGAGGTAAGGCGCCGCCCCCCGTCCCTCCGCCATCGCTATCGGCATCAGCTGCTGGTTTTAACCCTGTTCTGGTACCGTTTATCTGATGAGCAGCTTGTTCCCGAGCCTCCATGGACTGAACTTCGCAAACTGGATGCTGTTCAACGTACCCCTAATGTTGATCAACGCCATCGTCGCCTGGCTGTGGCTGCAGGTGCTCTTCATGGGGTTGTTCAGGTGCGACCTCCCCGTGACGCCGTGTAGTGGCATACATGCTCTTCGTCGTGAAAATATCTTTTTTTTTTTAAATGTTACTTTAAAAACTTCCCCGTCGCAGGAAATCAAGTGGCATACAGAAGCAGACCAAGGAGCAGCTGAAGGCCGTGGAAGAGGTGATCGCGACCAAGTACCGCGAGCTCGGCGTCATGACCTTCCACGAGGGCTCCGTGATGTTCCTCTTCCTCTCCGTCGTGGTCCTCTGGTTCTTCCGCGCGCCCGAGTTCATCCCCGGCTGGGCAGAATACGTCTCCGATGTGTATGTCGCACCGCCGCGTCCCGGACCGGGTCACTAGACCGCGAAGAGCCGCCGCGAGCCCGACGCGCTCCGGGGCCCTTCCTTCCCGCCTAGAATATGGGGTCGAAACGATGTTGATTCGCCCGCGATATCGATTTTCACTTTTAATAGACATCAAATCGTATTCTCTCCCGAATTTTCAATTGAATTAATGTTTACTCGAGTTGTAAACCAACATAAAATGTTTGCATCGCTTGTCGGCAAACAAGGTCAAATCGAAATCAAATCGAAAAAATATTGCTTACAGAATACACGCGGGGAGGGACGGTGGAGCACGCACTGACACACACTGATTGTATGTACTTTGGTTTGCACAGGAAAATTAAGGACGCGACACCCGCCGTGCTCATCGTGTTCCTGCTGTTTGTCCTTCCGGCCAACCTCGACTTTCTCAGGAGAGACGGTAAGCAGGGGGCTCAGGCGCTCGCGAGCCCGCTAAGCCGACCCGCGACCTGCTGCTTCCTAATGTTATCTCCTCGCTCTCCCCTGCTCCACACCTCCGCCCGGCCGCAGGTCCCCGCAAGGCGTCGCCGGCGCTCCTCAACTGGAAGATCATCCACGAGAAGCTGCCCTGGGGCCTGGTGCTGCTGATCGGCGGCGGCTTCGCGATGGCGGCCGCCTCCCGGGAGTCGGGCCTGTCCAAGCTCATCGGCGCGCAGCTCGTCACGCTGCAGGACTCGATGGGCTCCACCGCCATCCTGGTCATCATGTGCACGGCCACCACCTTCCTCACCGAGGTGTCCTCCAACACGGCCATCGCCAACATCGTGCTGCCCGTCCTGGCCGAGATGGCGTCCGCCATGCGCGTGCACCCGCTCTTCTTCATGATGCCGGCGACGCTGTGCTGCTCGTACGCCTTCATGCTGCCCGTGGCCACGCCGCCCAACGCCATCGTCATGGCCGCCTCCAACATGCGGCCGGGAGACATGGTAACCCCTGTCGCTTCTCATATCCCGGCGGCTCAGTGTGAGCAGCGCTCGCCGCCGCGTGCGCCGCCCAGGCTAGGCAGCCCAACTCACGCCCCTGACTCGACTGTTGCAGATCAAGGCCGGACTCGGGATGAACTTCCTGTGCCTCATCACGCTCTTCATCATGTTCCCCACGCTCGCCTCGTGGCTCTACGGCCTGGACGTGTTCCCCCCGGAGGCGGCGCACATCGGCACGCAGAGTAGGCTCTGAGGGAGATAGGGGTGGGTATGGGTGTCGGCGTCGGCGTCGGCTCCAGGGGAAGATGGGGTGGGGGTGGGGGGGAATCCTTGTATACTCTAGTCTTGTCCGTCATATGAGCATGCGCAAATGCAAAGTGTGGGGCGGAATATGCTCTCTAATGTGGTAAGAGAGTCGATGTAAATTTATGAGGTGATGAGGGGGTTCGGTGGGGCGAGCATCTGCGTTTAAAATTCACTTCTACGTGTATTGAGTTCCTAGTTTCAGTAATTACTGGAATTTTATGGATTGAAGCACGTGAATAAACCAAAGAACAGAGAGTAATTTAAGTTAGAAATAATTTATTATTCTCTATAAAAAATACCAATAGGCTTATATTTAACATGGCGGGGAGTCATCCAAGTATACGATACGTACATCACAGTAAAAATTGGTGTACATTAAACACTTCTTAAGCAATCAACGGCTGTTTCTGAGCCTCGAGTTCGATCACTTTTTCCCTTCACTCCCTTTTCTTTTATCGTTATGGCACTTTACTTGAATCGCTTCGGCAAAGAAGACCTTTTGGATTTCATAGCCGACTCGAAACAATCAGGATGATGATCACATTGTCGTCGAAATGACAGTTTTGGGCGAGACATGTTTACATCGAAGACAACATGACGTCATCGCGCTGTCGACGTCCAGAGGGTGTGCGCCTCTTCAGGGTCCGGGCAGCTCCAGGCAGCTTCGGGCATCGGACAGGGTTGCGCTCTGACGTCATCGGCCTGCCTGAGCCCAGCTGCTCCCGCGCGTCACGCCGCCGGCTCCCGGTCGCAAGGCAAAGGTATCAGTGTGGCGGGTGGGAGATCAGGCAGGATCACGTCGACGCCATCCGCTCGCGTAGCCACGGAATGAACTTGGCCACGTCCGTGAACACGGCGTAGTTGTAGGCGTCGCAAGCCTGCTCGTTGACGCTGAACATGGACACGGATACGATGCCGCGCAGGCGCCAGCGCCCGTCCGCGCCTCGGAGGAACAGGCCGCCGCCAGAGTCACCGTTGCAGACGCTCGTGCCTGGAAGAGGGAGTAGAGACGAATAAGAGCCAAAAGTTGTTTTACATAAAATAAAAAGAAATATCAGAACGCAATACTTGACGTTATTACAACGTTCCAACCCTCGTTGAAGTCGGTGAAAAAGATTCAAACAAGGTCAGAGTTGCTTTCTGATAAACAGATAAACACGAGCGTGTCTGCGTCACAACTCCCCCGCTGCTGGCCCGCGCACGGCCGCACGCGCCCAGCAAGACACGGCTGCCCGGATTTAATTGACGTGCTAAGGTTATTATACGCGATGCCAAGTGGCGGCTGGGGGCCTACTCCGTCATTATTTCATTTTCCGCTCGTCGTGGAAGAAGTCTAGACGTATGGGGGGATTCGCGAGGAATATCTTAGGTCGGGGGGTCTTTTCTGGGCGGTGGCGTTACATTGCTCTGACTCGTACCGGGTGTTGCAGAAAAGACACAGGTGCGGGCGGGTTTGCCTACCCGCTCTGCCCGTAAGGCGCCATAGCCTCTTGGGTAGGCAAACCCGCCCGCACCTGTGTCTTTTATGCAACACCCAGTACATACCGTTCCTAAAGCCGGCGCAGAAGGTGGTGTCGGTGGTGAAGGCGTGAAAGAAGATGTTGGAGCGTAGACACGTCTCCTGCGACACGATCGGCATGTTGGCGACGCGGATCTCGTTCGAGATGGCGCCGGTGTCGTCCTTGCCCCAGCCAGGCACCTGTGCGGCACAAATAACGCGAGGGGTGTATTGTCGTGTGCGGGGGGTAGCGCGGGGTAGTGCGGGGTAGCGTCGGTCTCGGCAGTGAACTCACCGCGCCCACCTGGCCCACCACGGCGGACAGGTCGTTGCCGAGAGCCTCTTCCCACAGGCAGACGGGCCGGATGTGCCTGCTGGGCTCTACTGCCTCCGTCAGCACCAGCAGGGCGATGTCGTTGTCGTACGAGGAAGTGGAAGAGGACGACGACGACGAGGATCCCGACGATGACGAGCTGGGCCTGGCCGCGGCGTAGTCCGGATGCACCAGCACCGAGTCCACCTCGGCAGTCTGCTGGCCCGGCTCGGTGTACGAGAGCAGGTCGTGCTTGCCCAGGTACACAACCAGCACGGCGGCGTCCACGGGTCGGCTGGGCCGGCCGCGCCGTGCCCGCACCTCCACGCAGTGGGCGGCTGGGAGAGAACAATGACAGAAGCGGTCACATCGGGACCATCGGGACACATAGGCGAGAGGCTAGG